TGCTTAGAAGGGCCACAGACAGATGGACTTGCTTAGAAGGGCCACTCGGGGGAAACTACAAAAGTCTTCCTTTATAGACGAGTGTCCATTTGATAATGTGGTGGCATTATGTAACTGTGTCGTTGAAGGGAAATGCCAAAATTGTCTTTTATGGTTAGGTGTTCATTCTGTAGTGGTGACAGATATAACGCAGACATTACTGTGTTTTCAGTTGATCATTCTCAACCATACTTTACCTTAATTTATTCGTAAATTTTTAACCACAAAATATGGTTAATGGGAAACAATTCTTTTCGAAAATGTTTTTTTGGCAATGCTTTGTTGCGGGCACATTGCTTTGCTCGATCATGATCAATTCTGTGTCATTCGTTACACGATTTTGTGGAATGTGACAAGGCATTGATATGGCTATGTACAGCTCACTGAGTGATTGCGTGTGTGTTCTTGGTAGCTGGCATCGTACGGTGGCACCCTCGACCTCACCTTCATGTACCTGAAGCCACGGGAACAGCGAGACCGCTACCTAGCAAGCTCCGACGTCATCATTGAGGTGGGTCTCNTATATATATAGTAGTTGATTTTTCGCAGTCAGTCGTGTGGGGATTGCCGCTGCGCCCATAGGCACTTGGAGCGTCTCAATAAAAAAATTATGCTAAATAAACACTAAATGTATTTACTACCAAAGCCTTAATGTGTCTCTACCCTCTTTCGCCTATTATTGCGGATAATCTCTTGTAAATGCCGTTCAAATGCTCCTTTGCAACACACAGGTACACCGCACGCACGCGACTGCACATTTATTTATATATATTTTATTGAGAGGCTCCAAGTGCCTGTGGCTGCGCCGTTGTGTCACGCGAAAGCCAGTGTCACGCGATACGGCATTGTCAGGCTAACACGGATGAGCTTGCGTGTGCAGATGTGTCTGTCCATGCACCCGCAGAGAGAACGAGAGAGAGAGAGAGAGAGAGAGAGAGAAGAAGCGAAAGAGAGAGAGAGAGAGAGAGAGAGAGAGAGAGAGAGAGAG